TTTTATCCGCTCTAAGACCTTATTGATTGCTGTAGGCATTATTATTTTATGGACCTCTAAGAGAAAAATGCTGCCAATTAAGCCATAACATAATGCTTTATCATGTAGAAGTTCGTAAAAAGTTTTTCTATATATTGAAAAAGATTATTATTTTTTTACTTTTTTAGACATGGGTTTTATCACAGATCACTCTCGTGAATACACAGAAAGGAAATATAAACAAAAAAATTTTGATTTAGATATGACTAAAACTTTTGCACAGTGTCCAGTGCTTTTGCATTTTTTAGGGTCATAGGTGTCTGTGTTTTTCCACAAAACATCGACAGCCATGGTATTATAATACTCTTCAGAGTTCTCTGGGATTTCCTCCAAGCTGCTGATGTTCCAGAAGTTCTCAGGCCTTGTGCAGCAAAAGACCACTACCTGGTGTCAATTGAGAGAACCATCCTGATTTAAGAGATTTTAAAATGTGCACCTGAGAAAAATGGGAAAAATGGTAGTCAGACCTGATGTTCCTCAGCACGTTGTCACCGCTTTAAAACTTATCAGAGAAAAAAAATTCAGGATCTTGAAATTTCCCTCAGCCTTTTTACATGGCACCACTCTGCGTCTCTCCCAGAGATTTCTAGTTTGTGATTTGGCTCTTCCTGGCAGCCTCGCTCTTGTCAGGCCCACTTCAGGTAGAGGGATGACAGGTTCAAAGCCAGCACCACAGCAGGACCTGCTGTCCAAGACTTTCTGATTTTAATCCTGTCAAATTAACGCTTGGATCCATGAGGAGAGTACCTACCTGGAGCCGTGTTTGGAGGTAGGGCGGGCCTGCAACAGGGTTCTCAGGCCCCAACCCCCTTTTTATAATAAAAATTTTGAGACAGCTGATGGCAGAAGGAAATTTCAGAGTGTCTATCCCTGTCATTTATTTCTAATTTTATTACATTGTGGTCACAGAATGTGGTATGTACTCTATCATTTCGGAGAGGGTGGTACAAGACTGGAGTGAATATACTAAGGTTTTCTAAGGCCCACTATATGACTAATTTGGTAGATGTTCCCTGGGTCCTTAAAGCTATATTGTCCGCTTCATGTTACAGAGTTCAAAATGTATTCTTTAGGCAAAATATATTAATTATTTTGTTCACCTTTGTGCATACTTTTTTTTAATTTGGAGTATGGAGATAAGCATATCCTATCTCATGTGGTTGTTTTAAGGACTAAATATGTTAATACATGAAAAGAGCTTAGAATAGTGCCTGTCACACAGTAAGCACTGCCAAAATGTTAATTATTGCCCTCGCTGTTGTTATAATTATTAGATCCTACATTCTATTTTTAATCCACGATATTTTATCTGCCAAAGACTGAGGAAGTGTTGTATGTGGTCTCCCAATACTATTCTGTCAACTTCTCCTTGCATTTTCAATAGATTTTGCTGTATATTAACTGAAATTCATGTGATCATTGTGGATAATCTCTCGATCAATGAAAGAATTCTAATGCTTTTCATCTGATTCTGATGCCATTCACTAATTTCATCACAGGTATGTTTCTTTTTTTTTTTTTCTATTTTTTTAAAAAATTCATTTGTGTAGGGTAGAGGGTTTGAGGGAAAAAAATCTGTTTTTTTGTGCAATAAATTGAAACTCATAGAAAACACACTTCAATTACACCTGAAAATAATACAATATTGTACGCTATATTTTAATAAAAATTTTTTCAAAAAACTTTCCTTCCCACTTCCCCAACTTTGCCCTGTTTTACTTGGCAGTCTCTGAAGGCCCAAGAAACGGAGGAAGGAGGGAGCCAGTCTTTCCTCGGATGTTTCTGCCTAATAGCGGCAGCTTTGCCAATAACTCTTGAGGGAGACTGGCTCAGGACAGCACAGGGCCCGAAAACGTTAACACAGCACCAGCAGCTGCATACTCAAGGGAAAAGCACAGAATTGAGAATGAGAACATCTTGCTGACTATGCTGAGATAGGCAGAAATATGCCTATCTCAGTACTAACAAGCAAGAGCGAAACCTGGATGGCTTCAGATGCCAAAATGGTGCTGGATGCAGCCTCATTTAACCTTCACCCCCGGAACCACAAACTAGTATTTCAGATAAAGAAAAAGAGGTCAAGTGCTGGCTGAAAGTTACCACAGTAGTGCGGGGGGAGGGGTGTCAAAGAGTGCTGTGAAACCTCCCATCTTCTCTCTACCTGATGACTGGTTTAACAAGGCCAAGGAAATCCTAGGTGGGCAACCATGCCTGGATTCCCTCACCCTGCAGCAGGATGGTAATAGGTGAGGGGAGAGAGACCAGATGCTGAGCTTGCTTCACCTCCCCACCGTCTATGAACTGCAGGGTAGAGGGGAGTAAAGTGGACTCAAGCCTCAGTTCGATCAACACTTTGAGGATGCTTGGTGAGACATCATCTACTGACTGGGAAGGTATGTGTGTGGGAAGATACAGGAAAGTTGTGGATGCTCCCCCTCTTTAATCATCAGAGACCTAAAAAAAAAAAAAAAAAAGGGAAATTTAGTATAAATAAATAAGCAATGACTGAACTGCTAAGAGGCACTGATTCAGCCCTGAAATGAGCAGAGTGAGATGGAATATTGTGAAAGTGCTGTATGAATGGCGTGCGAGGCTGAACCAGATCGCAGCCAAACATGAGTTCCTGTGCTTGCCCAGGTTGGGATACTGAGTGAGTTACCTCTGAGTTACTCCGATCTCTCTTAGCCTCAGGGCCCTTGCCTCCCCTGTCCAGATGAACTGAAGGCTATGTGAGATAAAGCACAGATGAGGCCAGTATAGCTGTGTCCTTGGGAGGCACTCAGGTGTCCATTCCTTCCAGCTGGCCTACCCTGAGGGTTTAATCTAGAGTCTACAAAAGGTTTGGGGTTAGGTTAGAAGGAAAAAGACTCCTTAACCTCTCTAGGTATCTACCTGGTCTCTGCAGCAACTCCTCTGCCCCACCTTCAAAGGCCAACAGCTGTCACTGGGAACGGGCTGCTCTCTGTTCCCTTCCAGCCCACTACTCACCCCTGTCTTCTTCAAGAGCCCCTCTCCTTGCAGGCTCCTTCTGTCCTCTCATGCTCAGTTTACCCCTCTGGCAGCTGTCACTGGCTTTTCGATTACTCGTCTTGTTCGCAAAGGATGTTGGCTCTTAGTTTACACTAACTTCTCCAACATCTGTCAGTTTCTTGCTTCATCACCCACAGGGACCTTGACTTTACCTGTGACTGCTCCACCTCTCAATTTCAAAAACACCCCTTGCTGGCTCAAATACACCTTCTCATCTCACCCCACGTTGGGGTTCTACCTCATCGAGACTTCCAATTTGCTACCTCCTCTGAAGTCCCTCCAGTCTTCATTAAACCTCATACCCCATAGTCTATCATTATCATTTCTCCTATAATCTTAACTGCCTTGCCCCTCTCCCTTCCTTGATGTGGAGTTGGGCAAAAGCCCAACTCCACATCAAGTATCTTCATCCCAGCTGAACACCGATGAGGGGGAAAACACGTGCATGGTACACACAACCCAACACTTCTGAGTGCCTAGATTTTCACTCTCAAATAACCATCTCGTAGCTCAGCCTTCGCTGCCATTCCACTTTTCAATACCAAGATGAATTTCTACTTCACCTTCTGAGAACATCTTCCAGCCACATCCAGCTGATGGTCTCACTTCCTTTCACTAGGAAGAGAGTCAAATTCCATTATGCCACCATTAATTTAACCTTCCTCATCCTCTATATGTTTCTCATCCTCTCTTTCTTGAACCCTATTATAAGGGTGCAGGACTCTTCCTCCTCCTATTTGAGGGGCCATCCCTCCTTTTTTCTGGACTGTGCCCTTCTGTAGACCCTCTCTCTCCTCCCTTCACCATCTCTCTCTCCCCTCATACTCATTGTTCCATCCGCATATCCATGTTCTATCTCCCACTGTGAACAGTCCCCTGACCCCACAGCGCTCTCCAGTGTCACGCCATTTCTCTAGGACCAACATCTCACTGTCCACTCTCCCACTCCCCATTCCTTCAGCCAACTTCAGTCAGCCTCCCACAACCACCTCTTCCTGAAATTGTTCCACCAAGGCCATCAAAACTCTCATGCTACTAAACCCAATGGACAGTTCCGCCTTTACGTTACCAACTCTCCCAAGCACTTGGCATAGTCCACTTTCTTAAAGAGGCTTTCTCCCAACTCCTGCTCCTCTTCGACACGTCCTCTCCTCTCAGGTCTGGGGTTCCTCGGTGTCCTATCCCGAGCCCTCTTCTCTTTTCTCTCTCCCTGAATGACCTCATCCAGCCAGAAATTGCTGTATTATCTTTATGCAGATGAGTCACATGTCTCATGCCCCGAATGACCTTGATTTTGTCACCTCCAAAAGCTGCCTTCCCCCAGCTTTCTTTCCATCCCCACTTGGAATAACTTGAGTCGCAAGCTGAAAAGTCTTTTCACTCACCTCACCTCCACAAACCAGTCCTGTCAACCTCTACTACCTTTCTCAAATGCATTCACTTCTATCTCCGCTGGCCCCGATCACCACCATCTCCCCCACAAATGCATGTGCCAGCCTCCCACTCACTTCTCCTATCCCCTTCGAGTCCAGGCTCCACCCAACACTAGGCCCCCGACCATGACCATTAAGGCTCTGTACCAGCTGCCTCCTGCCGGCCTCGCCAGCTTCATCTCCCCTTGCTCACTCTGGTCTAATTGTACTGGCCTTCTTCCATTCAGACCATGCTCTGGTAAATTAAAGATGGCTGCAAATTCTCTGCTTACCAACCCCTGCCCTCCCAATTGGAATGGAGTCTAATGGCCCAACCCTTGTTTTTGGGGTAATTTGCCAAGATTCTTTCTCAGGGCCTTAACACATGCTACTCCCTGGAATACCTAGACTACTGTTCCCACACTCCTACCTTGGTACTTCCTTCTCATCCCCCAGCTTAAATGCTCTTCAGAGAAGGCTCTTCTAGACCAACCTCAACTAAAAGTAAAACATATCAAGGTGAGACCTATATCAATCCTTTATTTCCTTAACACTGACATAAATGACACAAGTAAATAGGCATCATAATTAAAATTATTAATCTTATCTCCCTCACTAGAGCAGGGGTTGGTAACCTATGGCCTATAGGCTGGCCATCTCCTTTTAAAAATAGTTTTATTGGAAAACATCCACATTCATTTATTCGTGTATTGTCTATTACTACTTTTGACATGGCAGAGTTGAATAGCTGCTACCTAGACCAGGTGGCCCAACAAAGCCTGAAATATTTACCATTTGGCCCCTAAAAGCTTCTCAACGCCAAGGAGAACAAGGCCGATGGCTCACTCATCCCTAGGTTTTTAAAACCTCCTCAGAATGTTTGCTGAAAGGATTGCAGGGCCACGAAGCTCAGCTATAAGCTCTTCTTTACTGAGAGGCTCGTTTTTTCAGAGCAGGGCTAGACCAGGGCTGGGCCAATTCTCTTCTAATGTCTCCAGAATCTACGAGGTCCCAAAGATGAGAGCCCTGGAGGAGATGCACCAGAACTCAGAATTCTCAAGTCCAAGGTCAGTCCAGGGAGACCAAGCCATTTCCTCACCCCTTTTGCTCAGTTTTGAAGACAGCAAGGGGTTGGTTAGGACCCTCTACCACCTTTCAGGGGTGTAGTGCTTTGGGCAATTCTCAAGCAAGGATGCAACCACTTTCAGAGGGGAAAAAGGATTTTTTTGTTTCTCTGTCCTCCCCAACAAGACTGGGCTGGGCTAGACCCTGGAGAACAGCCATATAGGAGGTATGGGAAAAGACCCTCTCCTGGTTGAGAATCTCCTCCCCAGCAAGGAGATGGGTATGGTGACAAGGTAGGTCCCACATATGCCACTTCCTGGTTAGAGTAAACTTTGGAGGTCAGGGAGGCGTCAGCTTGTATATGGGCAGAGAATGTACATTCACATGTCTGGGGCTTGCCAGGCTGCGTGTATGCAAATGTAGGGGGGAGAAAGCGGGCTCTGAGAATTTGCCAGGACCCCTGAGATGAGCTGCAGATTTTTGCCCCTGATGCCATGAGTTGCTGGGGCCCCTCTGCTCGGAACATATTGCACATACTTCTCCTTTTAATCTGCTACCACTTATCAGGGCCAGGCCCAGCAGAGAAAACATTCCCTTTGCCCTCCCTCCCTCCCAAATACAAAGGTCCTGAGCTCAGGTCCCATGGGTCCTTGGAGGGATCCTCTAGTGGAGAGCTGAGATCTTAAAGCCTCAAGACAGAGCCAGATTTCAGCAGTCCCAAGTCCTGGAGGGCTTCCAGCAGCTGCTCCCGTGCAGTTCCAATAAAGGTATTCTCCAGGAAGGCAGGCAGGCCTCCCACACCATCCCGCAGGGTATACAGGGGCACCCGCACCAGGCCCAGCACCTGTGAAAGGAGGAAGACAGGAGACATTGGGAACCCAGGTAGCTCATCTCAGTCAGATCTTTCTAAATCAGACACCTCACCCCTGATCAGTCCAGCAAACCAGGCCTGAGGACTCATGTCTCAATAAAGCCTAGCAGGCCCAGCTTTCTGAGACAAATGACCCAAGTCAGGCTATCCAGCTCTATAAATGCTGTTTCTCACACCACGAAACCTTCAGTGGCTCCTGCCTCCAGATGCCTGCTTGGCCCTACCCCACTACTTCTCAAAATGTGGTACCTAGACCAGACATGTCGGTCCCATTTAGAAACTTCTGAAAATTGCAGATTTGCATGTCTTTTCCTCCATTCCCCACTGAACCAGCAATTCTGGGAGTAAGGCCAGTAAGCACTGTTTTAACAAGCTTTCCAGATGATTCTGATACCTGCCAAAGTTTGAGAACCATCTCCATGCTCCATCTGTCCCCTTACTTCCCTAGCCTAAATCCTAAGGTTTCCCCACAAAGTACCAGGCCACATCTCTTATCCAAGAAAATAGGTCTAGGGTGCACTGCCTAGACATTATCAATGGGGAGCAGAAGAGAGGCTTGGATGGGTGTGTTCTAGAAAGTTGGCTGCAGAGGCCAGTAAAGGGGGAAAAAGGGAGAGACCTTCGCAGGGAGATCAGGTTGGCTGCAGTCACTCAGATGAAAGACCAACCCTTCAACTACACCAGGAAATTGAGGGAGAGGCTTTCAGGGGGAGGGAGGACATGGGGGTGGGGTTCCCAGGCTGGCCCCACCTCCAGCCCGTGGTCCTTGGCGTGCGGTGCGCCAATCTCCACTGCAGCCAGCTGCTCCAGCGTCAGACGCTTGACATAGAAGTGGGTGACGACGTGCCGATCGGACACTGTACGCGAGCTACGGTGGTCGGCGCGCTCCACGCGGAAGGCGGCCGCAGCGTCGCCCAGCTCCTCGCCCAGCTCTGAAGCGCATCTGCATCTGCGGGAAAAGGGAGCGGGGATTGCCCTGGGCTCCGGAGGTCGGCACCCGGGGGAGGTCGCAGGGCGGGGAGAGGTCGGCCGCGCTCCCTCCTCACCAGGACGGCGTAACGCAGCGGGATGCGGCCGAAGAGCAGCCCGGGGTCCGGCGCGTAGAGCAGCGCGTGGCACGCGTGCCGCCAGTTAGGTCCCAGCTCCAGGGACTCCTCCAAGTCCAGCTTGCGGACCCCAGCCATGGCCGGACACTCTCCCCACTGTTGTCCCGAAGGTCCACGTGGGCAGGCTAGCGGGCCTCACCCTGGACCAATCCGAGCCTGGGTGGGGCGGCCAGGACCAATCCCTGCAGCGCCCAGGGGCGGGATCTAGGCGAAGTTAGGTGGGGCGAAGCCGTTGGCTCTGGGACGCTAGGGAAACCGAAACCTTCCTCTGGATTGGGTCTCCGCCGGCGTCTGGCCGAAAGTGTATCCGGGTCCAGGACGCGGAGGGAGGTGGGTAAATAATGCTTACATCACAGTCCAGCACCTGTGGGACTTCCTGAGCGGGTCTGAAGCGTGGGGCACACCAAAGGGTTTGTAGTCCGAGCAGGACTTAATTAGAGATGAATCCTGGGAGCCAGAGGAACCATAGGGGTAGTTCAGGAAACTCTATCTGGTTTGGTCTGGTTGGTACAGGAGGCACAGGGGCTGCGTTGGGGGTTAGGAAAGAAGTGAGGCGGAGTTGGCTTTAGAGACATGGCCTATCCTAGGGCGATGGGGATGGAGAGGAGCGATGGGTGGTGTATCAGCTGTCCTGAGTGGTGGGATTGAGGGGACTCATGGCTGATTGAACGTTGGCGGAGAATTGTGCTAGAATGAGGTCAGAGTTTCTGGTCTGGGTGGATGATGGTGTCATTTTTTGAGATGGGGGTCGTAGGAAGGGGTGGTTATTGTAACTGTAGGTCTAGTCTGGGATTGGAGGTAGTGATAAGCAGTGGATAGGATAGCTAAGATCAATGACATTTTCCAAGGAAGGGTAAGAGGAAAGAAAGAGCTGTGGGTGAAACCCCGTGGGCACAGGAAGGAGAGTGAGGAAGGTTCAGAAGTAGAAGACGTGCCCCGGGCTTCCTGGACTTTACCCGCACCCACCTGTAGATCATTGAGCTGCGAAGGAAGATAGGGAGCAGCCCACCCCCAGGGCAGGGAGAGCTACACAGGGCCTGGTGCTGAGGAACAGGGATTCAGGATCCGTCACCACAGGCCAGTCCTTCCACACCTTTCTGAGGCCTTACACTCTGCAGATTGCATCTACATCAAGAGTCAGTATTTATTGCACAAGAGAAAGGAGGAGGAAGCTCCTTGAGAGGGCCTGGGCTTAAAGTGACAGCATGGGATAGGAAAGAGCCCGAAAACCCATTCAGACACAGGCTCATGACCTTAGCCAGCCATTTAAGTCTCACGTCTCCAGTTACGCATCTGTTAAATGGATATACCAACCTATTTAGGGATATTGAGAGGTTAAAGTACTTAGAATAGTGCCTGCCCCACATAAATTTAGCCATCCTTGGAGTTGGGAGTGGGGCAGAGTGCTGTGTCTTATTTTAAAGACCTGCCAGTTGGAACTCAGCCACACTCATATCGGGCCTCAGCATCCCAAGGGGAGAGCGAGATGTCCCTGGCATCTTTCCTAGCTTATTCTTCTGAGTAAAATGGCAGGGACAGTGTCTGTCTACTAACACCAGGCAACTGGATCAAGGTGATGAGACTGTAGGTGTGACTCATTATCCCATTAGAGTTCTAGGGGACTTGGAAATGGTTAAACATTAGAATCACCTTGCAAAAAGCTCATAAAAACTGCCAGTTCCAGGGTTCTGCCCCAGACCCACTGAATCAATCTCTGGCGGTGATGCTGAGGCTTAGGTGGTTTTTACATGTGTTTCAGCTCACTCTAATATGCAACCAGGGCTGAGAATCAGTGCCTTAACCCTTACCCCTAATACTCAAAAGGCGACTTGGTTTTTCTCCTAGATTGGCTTCCTTGAAGGATTTAGGGCCAAAAGTGCCCTTTTCAGAGCTTCAGGCTGTTGTATTTTGCCTTCCTGGTTGCTTGAGGAGGCTTTAAAAAATGTATTCTGTTTTTTCTAAGGCAACGTGGATAACTCTGAAACCAAGGCAACAGCTATCCAAGAATTAATGACTTTGGAGACCTGAGCTTTATCAGGATGAATGAATATGGAAGTCCTCAAGCCTCCCCAACTTTGCCTCCCTTTCCACACTGCTCTCTGCCTCTGCCAGGAGAGCCCAGCCTCCACACCTCCCTCCTCCCTTTCCCCATCCCACCATCCTAAGGCAGATTGCCCAGGTTGAAGGCCGGAGGTAAATAGCTGAGCAATGCCATATGTGCCTCAAGAGCATGGTTTTGAGTACCAAGTTCTTAATGGTACTCAAAACTAAAAATAAGTCAGTGGTTCACCTCAGAGGTTACTAGGGAACGAATTCGTTATTTTAAAAACAATGAGGAAAAGAATCAAGCATTTATTCTGTCTTTTTTACATGGGCTCCTCAGGGCTACCAAATAGTTGATGGGGGAAGTATCTCTCTGTAGAGTATTTCAGTTAATCGAAGACAGAGGCAATCAAAATTTCATCATTTTTATTATTTTTAAACTTTAAAGGCTTAATAGATCCTAAGGATTGATCATCAATGGCTGCTAATATCACTAAAAGAAAACCAGCTATTTTATGCCTCATGATGGAAGAACACACCACTTCCTATGAAGTATTCTTGCTAAAAAATAGAATTTGAATCTGGATGTGACTACCATTTTATAAGAAATGCAAAAGAACATCTTTAAATATTCGGAAGAAGCTTGAATGACCCATGTGATAGTGGATCAAGTTGGAGATATCAGTCTGAATTTGTGTTTAACTTAATTCAGATACAGATGGTTACACATAAAAAAAAAATATATATATATATATATCTCTTAAGACACTGTACATGTATATTTCTTTGCCCTGTCACCTGAAGGGACCTAAAAGGAATGATACCCCAGTATCAATAAGCATACCCACTGCCCAGATCTTGATTTCTAATACCATTTTCCAGTAAAACAAACAAACAAACAAAAATTCCTTGGAAGAATGGCCGATTCAAGCACTGGAGCAGGAAATATACAGGATGAAAACATGATGAGACTGGAGCATCTTGTGATTCCAGAAAGTAAGGAAGTATACCTAATGGGAAAAAAAGTATTGATGGGAGCATGTGAAAGGAACAGGGACACAGGAGCCTACTGAGTGAGTTCTCAATGGCCAAAGCCGAAACAGTTTGAGCAAAAAATTAATAATAAAGTTATATTAGATCATAACTTAAAGTATAAAATATCTACAGGTTCCTACTGATATAAATAATGAATAAAGAAATAAGTGGGTGAGAAGAGACAATTCTCCCATGCAGAAAAGTTTGAAATAACGTAGATACTCTGCCCTCAAGGAGGTAAAGCATAGCTGTTAACCCCTTAGTGTGGGTTGTGAATAGTGACTTCCTTCCAAAGAGGACAATATGGAAAGAGGTGTATGTGTATGTGTTTGGGGGTAGCGGGGCACGATTTGTAACTTTGTGGGGGAATCTGACAAACATTACTTTAGCCAGGTGACCAAGGTCAACATCAACAGTAATAAGTCATGTTGATAGTATATGTACCCTTGATATGATGTAATGAATAGGGTACTTAACTATATTTGTGGTCTTCCTCCCAAAATGACGTAACCCCAGTTCAATCATGAAAAAAAAGCATTACGTAAATTCTAAAAGAGAGACATTCTAAAAAATACCTGACCAGCATCCCTCAAAACTATTAAGGTGAGCAAACACAAGGAAAGCCTAAGAAACTGTCACAACAAAGAGGACCCTAAGGAGTCATGACTAAATGTAATGCAGTATCCCGGGTGGGATCCTGGGTCAGAGAAAGGACTTCAGATAAAAGCCAAGGAAATCTGAATAAAATATGGACTTCGATTAATAGTAATGTATCAATTTTGGTCCATTATTGTAACAAATAATGCCGTACTAATGTAAGATGTTAATAACAGGGGAAGCTGGGTGGGGTCTATGGGAACTCTGTACTTCAGTGTGTTTCTATAAATCTAAGCCTTCTAAAAAAAGTTTATTTGTAAAAAATCAGGAAGATGCAATAGGTAAAATCTAGACTGAAGGAAACTTTACAAGACAAATGACTCGGTTTCTTCAATAAATGAGTTACAAGGGGAAAATAGATATGGAGGCAAAATCTATACATTAAAAGAGATTGAGGAGACATATCATTTGAAGCGATTGGGCTTTATTTGGATCCCAATTTGAAGAAAGAGAAAAAGTAAGACAGTGGGGGAAATGTAAATGTCGACTGGATATTTGATATATGGAAATTATAATTTTTAAAAATGTGATAATATTGCGGCTCTAAAAAAAGATTATCTTTTAGAGACACATGCTGAAATATTTATGAATATGATAAAAAGTAATCCAGTCAGGAGGTAGTGGGTGAGAGTATAAATAAAATAAGATTGGCCATGAATTGATTATTTTTGAAGCTGAGTGATGGTTCTATAACAAGGGCTTATTATATTATTCTCTTTACTTTTATATAGTTTGATGTTTTCCATAGTAAAAAGTTGAAAATAGAAAGATATTTGACTTCTCCTGAAGTTCAAGGTAAAGGTTGTAATTTACATTTGAATAAAGCTTTACATTTCACAAAACCATATTACAGGCAGGATCCCTTTTGGTCCAGGAGAGGGAGAGAGGTTAGGGGTCTAGTCTCACTTTTTAGGCAGAAAGGAGACTGTAAACAATATCTACCATCCACCAGGAAATTTAAAAGCATTGTATTTAATTCTCCTAAATTTTTCCAGGTGTTTAAAATGCAGAGCCAAGGTTGAAAGCCGCTGATTTTGAAGAATATACAGTGGTGGGGTCCTGGGAGGAGACATCACCAGCAGAAAGCTGCCAGCTAGAGCCAGTTGGGTTTTATCCAACAGGACTTCCTGCAAGGGCTAGATTCTGTTATATTTTAGGCACTCACATACCTGAAATCACAATCAGGAGCCTTAGAAAAGGTGGCATTCTACAGAAGCCAGCCCTGTTCTTGGTTGTTTGCAGGTCCAGCATCAAAAATATACACTGTTCGTGTTGTCTGCAGCTCGTTAGGTGGATCCATTTCACTATAAGAACAGAACTTTTCTGACACGTCCACCTTCATGCCTGGACCTCTTCACCTAAATACCCCACAAGCACCTCAAACCCCACACACCCAGGAACGAACTCTGCACTTCTCTCCCCCACCCCATCTTCATCTCCGTGCATGACCCAACACCTACCCAGTCACTGATGTTGGAAGCCTGAGAATCCCCACAGACAACTCCGCCCCAGTCCAGTTAGTCTTCGCTTCCCAGGTCCCTCTCATTGTCTCCTCTCTCAGTGCCCTCGTTTCATCAGATGAAGGTCAGACCTTCATCTTTTCCCATCTGGACTGTGCCTCCTAACTGCCGCTGTGTCCTGCCTCCAGTCTCACTCTGCGCTCCACACGGTTTCATGATCCAGCTAAAAGCACTGTGTCCTACCTCCAGTCTCACTCTTCAAACCTGCGCTCCACACGGTTTCATGATCCAGCTAAAAGCCATGCCCTGTCGCTACCTCTTCAGGGGCTGCCCTTTTCTACAGGATACAGTAGAGCAAACTCAACAGCTCAGGTGTGGGCTTTGCTTTCTATATCAGTGATCTATTGCTGAAACGTTTTGTAAAATGTGGTGACTTAATACAACAATAAACGCATTATATCACAGTGTCTTTGCGTCAAGAATTACAGAATAGTTCTAGCTCAGCGTTTCCCATGAGGTTTTAGTCCAGATGTCATCCAGGGCTACGGTCAAATGAAGGCTTGACTAAGGATAAAGAATTTGCTTCCCAGGTGGCTCACTGACATGGCTCAAAGTTGATGCTGGTTGTTGGCAAAAGCCTGTTTCTCACCACATAGATCTCTCCACAGGGTTGCTTGAGTGTCCTCCTGACATGGTGGCTGGCTTCCTTCAGAGTGAGTGATCCAAGAGAAAACAAGATAGAATCTATGTCTTTTATGATCTCATCTTAGACGTCATACACCATCACTTGTATAGTAGCCTAGTGGTCACACAGGCCACCCTAATGCAATGTGAGAGGAAAGTACACAGCAGGAACACCAGAAGTGAGGATCGGGGGCCATCTTGGAGGCTGCCCCCAGACCTTCCTCTCAAATTTGACATAACCACTCCAACGCTTTGTGTACCACCAATACAAAAAGATTCACATTCCCGGAACCTACAAGTCTCTGTCCTGTGTCTTCTATCTTAGTGTTCTTCATGCCTGCAAAATCATTTATTTACTTGGTCAATTTCTTTTTCCAGCTTTATTGTGGTATAATTTGACAAATAAAAAGTTTAATATTTAAATGGTACAGTGTAGTGCTTTGAGATACACTGTGAAATGATTATTACAATCAAGCTAATTAACATCACCTCACATAGTTACCATTTTTGTGTGTGTGGTGCAAACACTTTAGATTTCTTAGCAAATTTTAAGTATACAGTAATACAGTTATTAACTATAGTCACCATACTGTACATAGATTTCCAGAATTTATTCTGTATAACTGAAACTTTCTACCTTTCAACCAACATCTCTCCATTTTCCCCACAACCCAACCCCTGGAAACTACCATTCTACTGCGTTCATGAGTTTGACTTTTTTAGATTCCACATATATGTGCGATCATGCAGTATTTGCCTTTCTGTGTCTTGCTTATCACACTTAGCATAATATCCTCCAGGTTCATCCTTGTTGTCTCAAATGGCAGGATTTCCTTTTTTAAGGCTGAGTAATATCCCATTGTGTATATATGTAAATATGTCACATTTCCTTTACCCATTCATCTGTTGGCAGACATTTAGGTTTTTGCCATTGCCTGGCGAACAGTTATTCAAAATCATATGCCTAAACTTAATGCCTGGTACAGGATGCAAACTCAATACATATTGAGCTAAAATGCAAGAAAGAATCGACCACGTCTGCAGAAGAGTTCATTGTGGTAGGCTCTATGAGCCTATGCAGTGTTTCCTGGAAACTCGCTGAAAGCCAGGGAAGAGAGTTCATGGTTCACCTGCCATTTTGCAAAAGGATACGCGGACTTTTTTGAGAAATCAAAGAATCATTTAATTAGAAGTAAACTTTTCCTTAAATTTGTAAAAATCAATGCCAAAAAGCATTGAGCCCAAGGACTTGACAAAAGATGATGTCTGGAGAAGGAAGTTATATTGGTTAACTAATTGCCATAATAATGCTTAATAAACAACCATAAAACCCAAGTAACATACAGCAATAAGCATTTGCTTCTGGCTCAGGAGTTTGTGGATTGCCTAGAGCAGATTTGCTTCATTCCACAGTGGCTGAAGTGATTGTGGGTTGGCTGGGGTGGATTGCTCCACATCTCTCATTTTACCTCTGTGGTTGGAGGTCAAGCTGGTGAGGGCAGAGGCCCAAGAGAACATAATCAACTTCACCTACAAGTGTTCCACTCTAGAGTGATCACTCAGCCCAAACAAATTCCGTGGCCAAACTCACTGTC